TTTAAAGATGGGCACTATATTTGCCTTTTTCCAATTATCCAGGACCTCCCCCAATCGGATGAGTTTTCAAAGATAATGGCCAAAGGCTCTGCAATCACATCAGCTAATTTCCTCAGCATCCTTGGATGCATTAGATCTGGATCCATGGACTTGTGCATGTCCAGCTTTTCTAAATAGTCCTTAATCTGTTCTTTCACCACTGAGGACTGCTCATCTCCTCCCCATACTGTGTTGCCCAGGACGGCCGTGTGGGAGCTGACCTTGTCTGTGAAGACCGAGACAAAAAAAGCACTAAGTACTTCAGCTTTTTCCACATCATCTGTCACTAGATTGCCTCCCCCATTCATTAAGGGTCCCACACTTACCCTGACCTGTTCTTGTTGCTAACATACCTGTAGAAACCCTTCTTGTTACCCTTCACATCCCTTGCTAGCTGCAACTCCAGTTGTGGTTTGGCCTTCCTGATTACACCCCTGGCATGCTCGAGCAATATTTTTATACTCCTCCCTAGTCATCTGTCCTTTTTGTGTTTAAGCTCAGCGAAGGTTTCACTGTTAAGCCAAGCTGGCCGCCTGCCATATTTGCTATTCTTTCTGCACATTGGGATGGTTTGTTCCTGCGCCCTCAATAAGGCTTCTTTAAAATACAGCCAGCTCTCCTTGACTCCTTTCCCCCTCATATTAGCCTCCCATGGGATCGTGCCCATCAGTTCCCTATGGGAGTCAAAGTCTGCTTTTCTGAAATCCAGGGTCTGTATTTTGCTGCTCTCCTTTCTTCCTTTTGCCAGGATCCTGAACTCGACCATCTCATGGTCACTGCTGCCCAGGTTCCCACCCACTTCTACTTCCCCTACCAATTCGTCCCTGTTTGTAAGCAGCAGGTCAAGAGGAGAATGGCCCCTGGTTGGTTCCTCCAGTAGTTGCACCAGGAAGTTGTCCCCAACACTCTCCAAAAGCTTCCTCAATTGTCTGTGCACTGCTGTATTGCTCTCCCAGCAGATGTCACAGTGATTGAAGTCCCCCATTAGAACCAGGGCCTGTGTTCTGGAAACTTCAGTTAATTGGCCAAAGAAAGCCTCACCTACTTCATCCTCCTGGTCTGGTGGTCTATAGCAGACACCCACCATGACATCACCCTTGTTGCTCTTGCCTCTAAATTTAACCCAAAGACTCTCAACAAGCCGTTCTGCAATTTCATACTGAAGCTCTGAGCAATCATACCGCTCTCTTACATACAGTGCAACTCCTCCTCTGCCTGTCCTTCCTGAACAGTTTATATCCATCCATGACAGTGCTCCAGTCATATGAACTGCCCCATGAAGTCTCTGTTATTCCAGTCACATCTAGTTATTTGACTGTGCCAGGACTTCCAATTCTTCCTGCTTGTTTCCCAGGCTTCTGGCATTCATGTACATGCACCTAAGATAACTAGCCGATTGCCCTGCTTTCCCAGTATGAATCAGGAGCCCTCCCCCCCCACTGCAGCCTCCTCCTGGTGTTTTCTCCCGGTATCCCACTTCCCCACTTCCCTCAGGCCTTAGGTCACCATCTTGGCAATGCTCCCTTGGTTAAGAGCTTCTAAGTAGGTAGTGGCATAGTTGGTTCTAAATGTGGCTTGTGTTCCACATTCAACATGTTTGATATAGTTAATAACCATAGCAGGTCTTGATGTATCATGAGTGTCAGTGGCCCAGGCTGTCACATGGTGATCGTGTAGCCAGCTAACTATCATTATTTTGCTGTATAGAAAAGACTTCCCAATTGGGTTGGCTGTTACCTAACTCTTTTCTCAGGATGGTATCCCAGAAAGTATCCTCATATTTGCTGCTGTCTGGGCACTCTATCCCCTGCTAAGGCATGGTGCAGATAGCTATCTATCTTTTTAGAGAATGCACTGATTGTAAACAAGCCTAGATTTCAAGGCCAGCACTCTTCCTCTCCCCAAAAAACATAGCAGCTTTCTCACAACACAGACACATGGACTTAACTGGATCAGATGAATGTCATGAACTGGTTACAAAACATGCAGTAGTGTAGACTGGGTCTCAGAACATGACAAAGTATGGATTTAATAAAGTAAGCTGCTCACAGTCACTTTAATTAGAAATCATATTGCAGCTAAAAAGGGCTTTCACATCACTGCCTTTCACATGCAAATTAGTAAACATTCCATGCATTAAAAACTTATTCCTGGGAGGCTCTCTAGGGTGGGAGTCTCTACTGGGAAGGGATGTCCCTAGAGTTCTCAAACCCTTTGTAGTGTGGGGTGCATTCTGCACCGCTACTGATTCAGGCTTTGTCCCCCAATTAAGGCTGTCTTCTGCAGACAAGAAGTAGTTGCTTGGTGGGGGTGAGGAACGGAGGAGAGACTCTTCCCTTACTCCTCTCTTCCTCTTCTCTCCTTAAAAGCAGAAGAGAGAGACCCTGAAGGAAGGAAGCTGAGCTGCTCAGGAGCAGATGCCTCTTGGGATGGGAGAGTAGCTAAGACCATCACATTTGTCACAGGGCAGAGGAAGGAGGAGAGCAGGCCTTGAGCAGCTGCACTCCTCGTAAGCTGGCACGCTTTGCATCCTTCAAACAACCATTGTCCTACAAACAATGGCTTATTGGAGGGAAAGAGAAGAGAAGCTGCTGCTGCTCCCACTGAAAGCCTTTTCGGTTCCAGAAGAGCAGGTAAGGCAGCAGAGTCCTATTAGGGTTGACCTAAACTAGTTAAACTTGGGGAAGAGGGAAGCAGCAGCAGGATTCATTGAATTTGCCAGATTGCATGAGTATGGACTATTTCCCACCTCCCCCACCATGCCCCAGGGGAAGCTAGTTACAGATGGCAAAACTGGTTTAGTTGATTCACACAGGCAGAAACATCCTTTTAGAAGTAGGTTTTACAGTTAGAAACCATTATGCTCTGTCAATTAGAGTGCAACAAAACTCAGGTGTTCCAACAGCCAACCCAATTGGGAAGTCTTTTCTATCTCGTGGTTAAGCCAAGGTGGTCTTTTGCCACATTTTCTATCTTCCGCTGGTTAGGAAAGATAGAAAATGTGGCAAAAGAC